GGAGCTGAAAGAGAGGTCAGGGGTGGAAAGAGGGAGCCAGGAATTCCAGAAAACCGCTCTCTTCATGTTTTCTGAACTCTGCCTGTTGAAACTGCTGCCAATTCACACAGTGAAATATGTCCTCAGTGTTTCTCCAAGACAGCCTAAAAAAGTCCCTGCCCCAACGAATCAAATCAGTAGCATCTTTGGCCTCAGAGGAACATGGCAAAAAGGTCATTCTGGATCAACTGGAAGTCAAGGCTGCAAAAAGATACTTTTGAAGTCCCCTACTGAGTTCCTGGAAGGAGATTAGACTTTAAAAACCCTCATACCATGCTTTGGGTCATGATCTCACAGCCTCAGTCTATCCCAGGCTATTGCTAAAAGTACTGTCAGGCCAATAAACTACATGGATTCACCCTATCAATAATGGCATCGGTAAGGCTGCTCCTGGATGTAATATCTGCATGCCAGGCAGTGAGCCACGTGTAGTGTCAGGCCAGCTCTACAGAAGAAGGATTTGGCTGCAAATTTCCAGTGCTGCAGAGTGTGTCATATTGAAAAACCATAAAGACAAAGCATTTGGCTCCATGAGCCCTTCATTCTGCAGGAACTCTCGGGCTATCAGCGCAGGATCTGTGAGTGGGTTAGTCAGTCCAGCTCCCTGTTTTGAAAGGGCAGAAACTGAGTCAGAAATGACAATGAAGGTCTCTTAAGGGAATTAGAAAGACTGGGGTTTTAAATTGGTTTATAGTTTATTATTCTGTTTCCTACTCTCCTTGGCTGTGGGGCCATTTCTTGTTCACCTTTCACTACTGACCAATTCTTTCCTCCAGTTCGCACCCAGAAGCCCTCATAGATATTTTTGTCTCTTCCTTGGTTTCCCTTAAATCCCCATGACTAATCTACTGTCTCGTCTCTTCCTCCCAGCTCTGAGTTGTTTTTAATTGGGCCCTTGTTAACAGCTTCGTTGTTTGCCTGTATCCATACACAGAGCACAGCTGCACGATCTCCCTCTCAACCACAGGAGAAGAAATCAGCAAATAGAGCCCCTCCAAGAGAGCCCAGCCCGTCTCTTCTGTAACAACCACAGCAACTTGTGCAAAAGGACTGCCTCTGTGGGCAGACAGATGAGCTTTCTGAGACAGATCTGCGGCTCGGAGCACACAGACGTAATAAGCACCAGAAACGCATCACGAGCCGCTCTCCAGGCGTTCCTTAGACCATTCCTAAATCACCAGGTGCAGTCTCTCTCCCACTTCTGACTCTCTGGGTACGGAAACTTTTGCTTTCTGTCATTCCCTCTTGGTACACTGCAATCTTTCTGCCTGAAACTGTAAATGATAACACCTGCTGGGGCTCTTATTTGTTCATTCCCCGTATCTCCGGCTGCTCCCTGTGTGAGATATTATGCCCACACAGAGGTATAAAATATACAGTAGTTGCTTGTGAAAGTTCTATATGAAAGATGCAATGAGTATAAATAATGGTATTGTTCTGACGTTCTTCATCTTGGATCTGACAGAACATGTTCAAGAAACTCCGGGAACACTCTAAAGCTGATGGAAAAGTCACTCACGCTGTTATCAGCGTAGCTGAAAACAAATGAGCGGGACTGCTCTGGACATCTTATTTTCCTTTCACCACCAGAATGTATTCATTCCTCAAGTCATACCATATTCATATTTAGTTTAATGATTCATAAACATCCCAGGTTCCAGAGGCTTCTAATTAACTCATCTATTTAGTGTCATTAACAGATGCTCAGGGAGTGATTTATTGTACAATACCCGCTCATACCATCTTATAAATCCAGCCAATCTAATTGGCAGGCAGTCTAGGTAAATATCTTCTGCTGGTGGATGAGATGCTGTCCTAAATTCAGCATTAATGCCCTGCAGACTGCAGCTGAAGCATTATTATCTTCTCCTTCTATTACTCTGCAGGACATACATGGTGCTGTACAACACCAGTTATTTCCCTCTTTTAAAAAAAGAGATGTAGTGAGGCACTGTCTAGGATTCGGGATATTTATTTATCCTGTCTGAGAAAAGAGAAAATGAATAGCCCCAAAGAAGTTCATGCTTAAGCTCTTTTTAATGTACTTCTGGCTTTCTGTATTTTCAAACCCAAAACAAGTCCCTCTGACATGCTACAACAAAACAATCCTAAACTTTATTAGAAAAGTCATATTGGGAATCCTGTCTTACCAGAGATGTGGCCAAATGTCCAGACCATTTGCTGCTAAATAAGGGAGTGGGACTGGCCACAGTGGCTCTGGGCAGAACATGGAGCTGAACACCTACAACAGGAAAGTTAGCTCTACAGGTACTTCCACTGCTATGGAAGTAGCAGTGTAAAGGTACAGGTACAGGTACAGGTACAGGTACAGGTACAGGTACAGGTAGAGTGCAAGGACACTCCCAGCTGCTCATGTTGCTGGATTACTAGAGGGACCCCAGCATGGTTTCCAGCCCGAGCCAGCTAAACCTCCACCAAATCCTGACTGGCAGAGGCAGCACAGTCACAGAGCATCGGCATGGGGCTGTTTGCAGGCAGCCAGGCTGGTGAGCACCATGTGAGTCCAGCCTGGACAGAGCCAGCACACAGGACTCTCTTAGCATCACTGTTTTAATGATACACATCCACCTGGCAGGTTTGGTGGACTTGTTTTACTTGGAAACCAGGGTGAGGCTTTTCTTCTTCCCAAATTTCAGAGTGGTAACAACACAGGGGTTGATCCCTCTGCTTGTTGCCTGGGCAGAAGCAATCATCTTCCAAAACTGAAAGACAAGTTAGCTACCTCTCTGGAGAAGAACTGCAGCTATGCTGCACACAAATTCCACAGCTTTTCTCTTAAGAGCTCACTCCCTTTGCATTCCAGTTCTTCGCAATGGCAAAACTATGACTCAGTTTGTGTTAGCAAAATACTAAGGAAACATGAATAAATATTGTCTTAAATTCCTTAAGGTGGGAGTCATTAGAGGACTGCTAAAATATTTCTTTTTTTTTTTGCAGTAATTAGTTTTTGTCTGTCTGTAGTCTTCAAAAAAAGTTTATTTAAGATTTTTGTTTCAATGGCACTGAAAGAAACCATTGTAAATAATTAGGGTGTGTTTTCTCCTCATTTTAAAACCAATGTTTTAAGTAAAGTTACTGGGTTTTAATACACTTTTGACTCAGAATGAGATTTTGATGATGAACCATCTCTGCTGTCTGCTCCAAGCTTTACTTACAGCAGTGCCTTCTGTGGGTGGGTTTGGTGAGGGGGAGGAAGTACAGGGAATATTTTAGAGGGAATGCAAAGCAAAACTACATTAAAATGCGACTGTGCCCAAATAAATGAAGGAGAAGGGAATATGACAGCTTGAGAAAGGGGTTATACATTAATCATATATACTGCAGAATTTCTAGGATTTGTTAAAGTTCTCCTCAGGACTCACTATGAGCAATCAATATAGGAACAATACCATGATGAGAATGACTGGCTTAACTAAAGCTTTCATCTTCAGTACAGCACCCTTCCTTCCTACTTCCCTCTCTCGTGGTCTGCTCCCAAGGTGCATGAGGTCTCTCATATGCAACAATGAAGGCACAGCCCACTCCTAACATCTGTACTGCAAGAACAGCTTTGACCCAGGCCACAGCAGCAGTGTACTATGCTTCAAGCACTTTTAAATCATTGTATCCTGGGATTTGAGTTGCATGTCATGAGAATTGTTATAGCAAGAACCACCTGAAGCAATGGAGTAGAACCCTTACTTGGGGTAAGCAGCGCAGGTGCAGCAGTGACCCAGCTGAGCTGGTTTGCTGCCCAGTAATGCCACACAACAAACCACCTCTCCTGTCCCGTGGGACCACCATTACAGATGGAACCCAAAGCCATGGGCTAGATTAATTCAGAGGACATTTTGTGGACATTTTACAGATTTCTTATAGAGGTGGCCCATCAACTTAGGGAATCGTATCTGTGTATTATATCAAAGGATGGGAAGGATGGTGGCAGTGTTTAATGAGGATGCGTTGGATAACGTGGGACCTGAGCGTGATACAAATGGCATGAATTAAGGGGTGGAGAATGTGCTTGTCTGGGATAAGAGTTAATTTTCTTTACACTCTCTGGTATGGGGCTGTGTTTTGGATTTGTGCTGAAAACAGTGCAATATCAGAGACGTTTTAGTCACTGCTGAGCAGTGCTTACACAGGGTCAAGGCCTTTTCTGCTCCTCATCCCACCAGTGTGCAGGCTGGGGTGCACAAGAACCTGGGAGGGGACACAGCCAGGACAGCTGACCCCAACTGATCGAAGGGATATTCCACACCGGCATGTGAAACAGGGGGAAGATGAAGGAAGGGAGGACATTCAGAGTGATGGTGTTTGTCTTCCCAAGTAACTGTGACACATCACAGAGCCCTGCTTTCCTGGAGATGGCTGAACATCCGCCTACCCATTGGAAGTGATGGATGAATTCCTTGTTTTGCTTTGCCTGCGTGCAAACTAAAGATAAACTAGATACACTAGAGATACTATTATAATGTCAGGAGTATGAACCCAATTCCATGCCCTCTGGATCTTCTTAATAACAAAGATCATAAACAACAGACATACCGGTTCACATGGAATTTACACAGTAACTTAGACTGGAAGGGACTTCTTGAGAGCATCTGATCACTTTGCAGAAGGGTTAACTTTTCTATTAAAACAACAGAGATAAAGAAGATACTCTGCTCTTTTATGTCAGTTTCACATTCTATACCAAAACAAGCGTCAGATCTAGTTTTAGTGTGAATAGCAACGTAGATTTAGGAAGAAGTCTAGTATCCCACCAAAATCCATATGGAACACAATTCTAAAGAATTCTCATTGATCACATGAGCTCTCTTGACAGGAATCAGGATGCTGAAGAGAATAATGAAATATGAGAGTTCCTAAATATTTTGTCAGAAACCCAGTTACTAAACAACAGAATAAATTGCAGGGACAACCACCCACAGAGATGCAGTAATGAGCTGTACCACCTAATAAAAATAAGTTTTAATATTCACAACTTAATTTCACATGAGTGCATATTAACCTTTCTTTTTGCAAAGTTCAAACAAGGTTCAAGTCCTGCATTGTTTACAAAGCTGGGGTTACTCTTCTTCATTCTTCTGCACTGACTGCACAGCTTCTGCTTTAACTCTATTTCGTTTTCTTTTTCTTCTTTTCTTCTTCTCAGAAGAAGGCTCCTGACCCTCCTGTGTTTTCTTCTTTTTCTTCTTCAGACAGCTGAGGGGATTCGGGCCGCCTGCCCTTTTACGTTTTCTTCTCTTTTCACCCCCTTGCTTTGCTAGTCCTTCTTGCTCTTTAAGCTGCACAATACTTTGTTTTTGGTGCTCTGGAACAAGCTGATTGGTCTGCAACTTTTGAACAACTGCCAAAGATTTAGTAGAAGGTTTGTCTAGCACCATGGTGTTCTGAATAATAAAGAGGAGAGGAACGCCAGCCTTCTTTTTCACCTTGTTTGCTAAATCCTGGTCCTGCAAAATTAAATACTTTAGTCAATATTTTAGGATTAAATGATATTTGCAATTCAAATGCACCTACTTTCAATACAAAACTATGAAGATAAATTACATTATGAAAAAGATAAGAAACTTAATCTATCAGATATACATGGCAGTGCATTTCAGAGCAATTTAAATTTCGATTTCTCTCCTTCTGATAAGCTGTCCTTCTGATGGAAAATTTATTAACATTTCCTTTTTTCATGCATGTGTAAGCATACGTGCATTTTCTGAGGAAGAAGTACCAGTTCATTGGTATGCGCTCCACCACTTCACAAGAAGTAACATCATTACTCATATAACAAGAATTTTAGATTCCTTGTGTCTTACGTAAGTATACAGCATTCTACTGTAAACCATTATATACATATTGTATATAAGTTAGACATACAGTCCTAGTAACAGACCCAAGAAAAAAATCTGCCCATCTTATTTGTACACAATTTCTACCTTTATTCTTATTTAAAATGTCCCAAGTTTCTTAAAATGAAAGTTATATGGTCATTTAACACTTTATTTTCAGACTACTGTGCAAAACAGGGGCAGGGAATGCACACACAAGCAATATGTAAAGTAACATTCATCAATTGTTTGCTTACATGTCAATAGGTAGTCAGCATGCTTTCTACACCTGCTAAAGTAAGCAATATCCTTCTAGGGTAAAAAAACCTAATTTTTCAAGTAGACGAAAGATTCCCTACTTCATAGTTAACAAACACATTAAAAGCCAGTAAGGCTTTACAGCTTTACAAGATTAATTCCCATAAGCTATTTAGAAGTCTCATAATGGAGGTTTCTTTTAAGTTTCCTTATCCTTATGTATCAAAGGATCACCTGAAATGAAACAAAGTTACGTTCTCCATGAGCATTTACCTGTGTAGCAATAAAGAAGTGATGAGGGTTGCCTTCTTCAATCATGGAAAGTAAACAGCCCGAACCACTGACAGGATCCTTGTGGTGAGAACAGTTTCGAACTTGAAAACTTTGGGCAATTAATTTTGCTCCATAAAGAGCTTTTCCCAATGACTGCAGTTCTTTTAGAACACATCTGAAAACCAAAAGCATCAAATTTAATATGAAAGAGAAAATAACTACACATTTTTTACAACAGCAGAAGGTTGACATGAGTTAATTAGGAACAAGCAATGCCTAGTTGTTCAGGCTTTACGATTTATAAATGGCACCCAGTAATCTGAAAGGAGTAGCCCATCTGAAGACGTCAGCAAGATTTTTTTGGTTCCAAACAAGATTAAGAAGCAACAAGTTATATTAAATGATTTAAAAATATTTCCTATCAGTGGCAATGCTGAGTCCTGACATTTATGTTTAGATATCACCCAGCATAGGAACTAGTACTTAACAAATAAAATTACTTGAATTAGCAAAAACTGATTAATCACTGCATACCAGTTAAATTATTAGTGTCCACCACCCTGCTTCAAACTTGCTATCAGAATCCAACTGACTCAAGCAGAAGAAGAGACTGTCCGTCTAATTAAAAATCTGGAAGCTTATGGCTCCACAACATTCCAAATAGACAGTAAGATGCAAACCCAAACCCCTCCTCTCAGCAGAGATGAGCAGATGTTCAGAAGTAGCAGTCTAGGAGGATGCTGCCTTCAGGATATTCAGAAATGAACAAGGGATGAAACCCAACTTACTCCTGCCATCGAGTCTTACTATTAAATATGGCCAGTGGTAGGAATGTATGGCCTTAAAAAAACAACTTCAAGGATATGGTAACAACTGTTTTTCTTTCCAGAGAAGAAAGGTTAGCCTTTGAGGACAGTCTTTGTGGAGATCTGAGCCTGTTCTTTTTGCAAAGACTCTCACAGTGAGACAGCTCATTTCCGCAGGGAACCTCTGGTCATGCCACTTGAGGTGCTGCCTCACCAACTTAGCATTCTGACAGCAGAGAAAATGAGTCCATTCAGCTGCCCTACGTGAAAACAGGTCAAAAAGATGAACAGATACTGCTGAAAGAAGGAAGCAAGAAAGGTCATTTAGACATGACTGCAATACAGTTTGGATCAATGTGATTCACAAAAATTTCACAGCTAAGGTCATGATCTGATACTTTGTACTGTTTAGAAGTAGAGACCAGTTCTGTATGCTTTGCAAGATGGCTCAATGTTCAATTTTTGTAGCCTAGGGTATACATCTTCATCTTTTCAGTACTTGCCTCCATGATGGGCAGTTGGCTGTTCTGTCATTGCAGAAATCCAAGTGAGGGAAATCTTACCATATGCAATATGGAAAGTAAAGTACAAACAAACGCAACTTCAAGGCAACTTAGGTATTTAGTGTGCATGCTTTACTTCCTCACCTTTGTCTAGCATACCCTTGCTCTCCCTTGAGAACAGCTACTTTGGAAACAATCCCTTACTGGCAGGCTGAAACTCCAGACAGGCAGCAATTCCCTCCATGCACAGGAGATCTGACCTTGCCTCTGTTCTTCTCACTTAGCCAAGAAACTGGGAGTGGGAAGAGGCCACTCCAGATGTCCCTCACTCACTGTGGTTACTTCTTGCCCCACCACCACATTCAGCTCTGAGGCCCCAATGCGAGAAGGACATGGACGTGTTGGTGCAGGTCCTGAGGAGGCCATGAAGATGCTCCGAGGGCTGGAGCACCTCTGCTACAGAGACAGGCTTAGAGAGCTGGGCTTGTTCAGCCTGAAGAAATCTCCAGAGACCTTAGAGCAGTCTTCAGTACCTGACAGGAGCCAACAAGAAATCTGGAGAGGGACCTCTTACAAGTGCATGTAGGGATTAGACAAGAGAGAATGGCTTTAAACTGACCATAGGACAACACTGACTTTAGGACAAGAGCTAACAGCCTCAAGCTGCACCAGGGGAGGTTTAGATCGGATATTAGGAAAACTTTCTTCACAGAGAGGGTGCTCAGGCATTGGAACAGGCTGCCCAGGGCAGTGCTGGAATCACCGTCCCTGGAAGTGTTCAAAACCCGTGTAGGTGAGGTCCTCAGTGACATGGGTTAGTGGTGGTCTTGGCAGTCCTGTGGTAATGGTTGGATCTGATGATCTTAAAGGTCTTTTCCAACCTCACTGAGTCTATGATTCTATGGCAGAGGGTAGATTTAGGTTGGCTAATGGGAAGAAATTCTTCACTATGAAGGTGCTGAGGCGCTGGCATAGGCTGCCCAGAGAAGCTGTGGCTGCCCCAGTGACCTGGTCCATTGGAAGGCGTCCCTGCCCGTGGCAGGGGGTTCGAACTGGACCAGCGTTAAGGTCCCTTCCAACCCAAACCACCCTGTGATTCTGTAACAGTTTGTCCCATCTTCACAAGGGCAGCCGGTACCGAGTGCAGCTCCCGTCCCCCTCCAGGTTAACCACAGCGCTGCCTCCCCTCCACAGCCACCGCTCCCGCCTGGCACCGCGGCCACGCAAACCATCCCCTACCCCCCCACTGCCTCCCACCTCCGGCGGTGCCCAAGGGGCGGCTGAGGGAGAGGACCCGCCCCGCCGCGCATGCGCACGGCAGCTGCCCGCCGGGCCCCCAGTGTCGGCGGCGGTCCCGCAGTACCGTGTGGTGCAGAGCTGCACGGCGCCGCCGAGGTAGCCCGGCAGCTGCTCGCGGATCTGGATCTTGTTGCGGAGCGCGGCCTGGCAGAAGGTGCCGTCCAGCAGCACCTGGAACGGCTCGCGGAAGCTGAAGTTGTTCTTGTAGAAGCCCATGTTCTTCTTGGCATGCTTCTGCCGCGTCAGCTTCATGGCGCCGCCGCCCGCACGGAGCCACCGGCTCACCCGGAAGCTCAGCGGGGCGGGGCCTTGGGGCCTTCCGCCCCCTCCGGTCTAAGGAAGCGGGGGAGTGGTGAGGAAGGTGCTGGGGGTGTCCAGTGCGTGGCTGCTCCTGCCTCACCGCCAGGCTGCGGCCGCCTCTCCTGAGCGCCACCCGGGAGGCTGGGTGCTGCTCGCCTGGCGCAGGTGAGGCCAGCGAGGGCTCTCCCACTGATTAACTGAAGGCTAGTCCATTACCCTGTGTTTGCAGTGCTGTGCTAGCTCCTGTCTTTGCTGAGATCAGAAACACAGTTTTAGTTTGTCTAATTCACCTGGGGGAACTGGGGTTGTTTAGTCTGGAGAAGGCTCAGGGGAGACGTTACTGTTATGACTACGTGAAAGGAGGATGGACAGAGGAGGTGGCTGGTCTCTACCCAAGACGAGTGGTAGGACAAGAGGAAACAGCCTCAAGCTGCACCAGGGGAGGTTTAGATCGGATATTAGGAAAACTTTCTTCACCGAGAGGGTGGTCAGGCATTGGAACAGGCTGCCCAGGGCAGTGGTGTAATCACCATCCCTTGGAGTGTTAAAAAACTGCGTAGATGAGGCCCTCAGTGACATGGTTTAGTGGTGGTCTTGGCAGTGCTGAGATAATGGTTGGACTTGATGATCTTACAGGTCTTTTCTCACCTGGTTGATTCTATGATACTATGCTGATTAAATTACAGTTACTGTCCCAAAGACTGTAGTTTAATCATGGATTGACATAGTTCTCTTAGGAAGTCTTATTCAATGCCTAGTTATGTTTGCGTGTATTGGCTACATTAGTGTAAACTCTGTATGCACAGAATTGAAGTTCCAAAGCATATATTCTACATTTTAATTATACTTTTTCCATGACCAATAGAAAAATCAGTTTCACTGTAGTCTGGAGAAATGACTGTCATTCAGAAACCTAGACTACACAAACCCTTGTCCAACAGAATACATGAGCACATCAGACATTTGGCAGCTAAACTGAACCTAATGCCTGTATTTTAGGCAGCAAAGGGATGTGGTACCTTAACATGATCAGATATGGAGACATCTGTCTTAGTATGCAGGTATTGTGGGGAGACATCTTTCTGCCAGGGACAACCGTCTTGCAAGCAAAAAGTTGCTGGTACCTTCCAGTTAGCTGTAATCAGTCAGAATACTCTAAAGTCTAATTTAAGCAAACATTCGCCTGTAATATTGCTCTTTTTGGTAGCAATTTGGTTGGAAAATATCTGCTTCCAGCAGGTTAGTTAGTGATAAGAGAAATTGACAAATATTGCATTTAACTACTATTCTAGAAATTCAAATGTTTAAATGGGAGTGATGCAGAGGGTTGACCAATGTACAAGGGGGTTGTACAAGGGGCTTGTTTGTACAAGGGGGTTAGATGAATTCGATTGCTTAAACAACTATTGCCTGTACCTGTCATGCCTACTAAGCAGAACAAAGGCACTAACTATTGATAAGGAAAAGCAGACACCTGGTTCTATTGACAAGGAAAAGCAGACGCCTGATTCTGCTCATAAGCAGCTATTGATAAGGAAAAGCAGATGCCTGAAGGGGGTGAAGCAGATGGTTTATGGCTGGGACACTGACCAAACCCTAAGGCCATACATGAAGACTAAAAGATGGAAAGTTCAAGAAGAGGAAGACTCATTTACTTCATCTGAAGACCCCTACCCACAGGAGGAAGACTCATTTACTTCATCTTGAGACCCCTGCCCATGACCAGAGGGGGTACTGCGCAGGCGCAAAGGACCTTCTAGCTCATTATAATACGAAGTGGGGATAGGACGTGAATATGTATAGGCGTATTGTGCAACCTTATGAATATATATAATTTTAGAGAATAAATATAGAGAGAAACAACACTGAGGCACGCATGACTTTGAGGAATTATCCCCGTGCGTCTCAGCGCTGAATAAAAGCATACCTACTTTACAGCTTTTAACCAGTTGTGGAGTATATCCGTGTATCAGAAGGATATTTAAAAGTACTTACAGGATGAAAAGTGTGAAGAATGAGTGATTCAGAGTATTTCCATGGGATCTCACACTGTTAACAGTATTTTTCTGTCATTAAAACCTTTCCAGCTGCCTTCAGGGGACAGTTGTGTGTGTTTATGAGTATCACAGACATAGGTGGCCACAGGCCTGTGAGCCAAGTGATACACTGAATTCATTGGTCTTTATTAACCTTCCGTCCCATGGCCAGTGTATTCACGCAGTAGTGTGGAGTCCCACTTCCTCCATCTAACTCTTAACTATAATTAATAGTTTTAATTATTTAAAAAAATAGACAGGAATACTTAGCAAGAGGAAAACTTTAGTAGATTAATTATTTTTTCTTCATGTAGTTTTTTTCTTTTTTAGGAGGGAGCGGTGGCAACTGATTAAGTGCCCAAAGACAGGCAGTTATTCCTTATTAAGAACTCTTTCCACATCTCACAGCTAGAATGGGGAGTCTGCAGTGATAACAGCAGCTATTGCAGATTGGAGATAAAAAGGACAAAAAAAAGTAAGTGAGAGCTTGAACTAGCCATCATTTGAACTAATTGCAAAGTAAGAGATAATCCAGAGCAGGGTGTCAAATACCGCTGTGAGGAGATAACTCTTTTCCTGTTCAGCTGGTAAATAATACCATCACAGACAAGTTGTAATGCAATTGGCATGGTAAAATAAGTTCAGGAGGCTGGCCAGAAGACAAAATGACAGCACAGACTTCTCCTTCTTCATCATACTGAAGACAGCATTAACTGTAGGATAAACTACTTGCAGTACCATTCTGTAGATTGTATTTCACTTCTGTACAATTCTTTTAAATTATGTTAAATAATTTTTAAATGTTAAAAGAATCCCGTCACAGTATAGAGAAGTACAGGTTTTTTTTTTGGCATTTTCTTTGATACTTTGTCAGTATTTTGCATATAATAAAATTTGCCATATTCCTTTCAAGTTCAGTTCTTTTGCTATTCCTATGATCCATCTGTAAAGTGGACTTTTTAACAATAAGCCTAAGGATCTCATGGGAGCTGCTGGATCCAGTAGTCTCTGGGACCTGGGGATTGCTGCTTCAGGCTGCAGAAGTCCATCTACTTATGCTGTTTGGATTTGGGAGGGTTCCTCAGCTCGTGTGTCCTGGATAAGTGTCTGCATATGCAAGCATGCATGGAGGACACTAACACAGCCAGCCATGCACACCACAACAGCACATACAACTCTACCAGAAATCATGTACAGGGTAAGCATGGATAGTGCAGTCCTGCTCCCCTCTCCAGCTGATCAGCACTGAAATTCCCAGGTGACTTCTCACATGCCCTTAACTCCCTACACTCACCAGCACACCCGCATTAGACGTCAGCATGGCCCCTCGGTCTGTGTGATACCCATGTCTGGACCTTGGGTTCCTGAACTCCTGCTAACTGTCTTGGCCAACTTAAGTCTGCTAATGGATTACACATCCACAGGATTAAAGTCACTGGGGAAAGATAACTAATTAAGGAGGGTAACTAATCAAGAAAGGGGCTTAATAAGAAGACAGGATAGGCTGCTGTGCTCAGGCAGAGAGCTCAGCCAGGCAACTGTACTGACTGCTGCCGGCTCATATGTGAGACTCCCTCCACCCCATTTTCCCACTCATCCTCCTAGATCCACCCTGGTCCTTCCCTACCTTTGGCCAGTTCCATGTACATTCCATACAAAGTTTTGCATAGTCCCACAAGCCCATGCAGATATCCCAGAAAATGTTTTGCACAGTTCCATCTGCCTCCTCAAATACTCGCAATAATTGTGTTTCCCCCTTCTGACCAGAGACAAAGCCTGGTTGACCCCTTCAGGGTGGCTTTCTGGGCATCTTCTTTAATGGCCTGGAGAGTTCTGCTCTTCACTCTTGTCTTTGTTACCACCTGCTTATCTGGCAAGTTTTGTGTGTTTAATATATCACTTCCTTTCTCATTTCTAATTTCTTTCATACTGAATAGTCTTTAACCAGATGACTTAATGAACCAAATGCTCTCATATTCCACATACTCTTACAGAAACTGTCTGTAGCACAGCAAAGCTTGTCATAAAGCTCAGAGAAAGATACATTTTTGAAATTACTTGTTATTATATTTTTAATGAATTCATTTTCATCATGTGGCTGCACCATTAAAAGACTTTGGGTTTTTTTTTAAGCGAGCATTTTTTTGAAGAACTAAGAAACCACTTGCATTATCAGCAGATTGCCTGCCAGCAGTGTCACTGTGGAAGTGAGCTCAAGGAGGCGTGGAAGTTGTTGAAGCACCACTTTTGTTAATGTGACTTGTTTTTTCCAAAGGTATTTGAACTGGGGAGCTTCTTTTTCTGAAACAGAAGTCCTTGATTGCTGCTGGACGGGATACAGGTCTAGGGTTCAGTTCTGACCTAACAAAACTATTCCTCTGACTTTATCCATAATGTTAATACCTTGTGTGTAAATATACAGTATTTATGGAAAGGTGTCACTGAAGGAGACCTTCTGTATATCCAAAGTGGGAGGAAAGCTTCATGCTGCACTTCTCATACCTGCACAGAGATAAGCCAGGCACTACAAGAACTTGGGCTTCCCCAGTCACATTGCACATGAAACCTGCTCCAGCAGAGTATAGCTGTTTGCAGAGAAGACTGTCTCTTGGCCTGTGAGTTCAGCTCTGTTTTTGAGATGCTAGGTGATGCAGAAGTAGAATTAAGTAACATGAAATTGCTGTGACATGTGGATTACTTGAAGTGAAAGCCGTTCTTTATCAAGAGCTTTGATGAAGGCCTGGTAACAAAAATTTCCCTTAATAGCTGGCACTTGGTAAATGCTTGTAGCTTGGCAAGAAAAACATCTCAGCTCTCGATTATCCCAAAGTTGTCCTCTGTCAGACCTTTTTAATCTGAATGTGTTGCTTTTGGCCAAATCTTATGCTCTGTGGTTATCTGCAAAAAGTCTTAGCACCAGACACGCTTAAATTTGAAAAAATGAACTGATTTAAAAGGAAGGGTAGGGTTTTCAA